AACGTTGAAATAACATACAATAGAGGCTAATCCCTTTTGGTTTGCCAAACTTTTAAGCTAGAGACGCCTAGTATGTCAGGTGACGCTGACAGCTGATAACCTACGGACTCCTCAGTGCAAAGACCACTCTGCATTAGGCAGTCTCCATATTACTCAGAAGGGAATCATTAGATCACACTATCAATCTCTAGTCGTCTACAAACAGCTACTATTGAATTCTGTCTGTCTGTCTGGTATAATTGAAACAATATGATACAACCTCCATCTACCGCTTCTTGATGCTCACATCAATGTTACCAATTGCCCACGCGGCAACGAACACGGTGAACAGGCCAGCCGTGATGGTCACGGGCTTGCGCAGTCCATCCCACAGAGAGTAGTCGTAAGTGATCTATATCCAATGTGTGAGCTTGACTATTCCCAATATTTATCCGGTGTATGTAGGTAGTTACTTACCACAATCTGCGAGTCACGGGCCTCATCCGTCAACTCCTCCACGGTCAAAGTCAGCGCCGTGCGTCCCAGGGTATCCATGAAAGTCTTGTGGCTGGTGAGCTCAGTCTGGATCTGGTTGGCACCGGGGAGGCCATTGCTAGTCGCCTTCTCGAGAAGCTCGTAGCGGACGTTCCGGGCACCCTCGGGGAGGATGATGCGCACGACAGCCTTCTCGTACTGAATACCCTCGGGGACCTTGGGGCCCTCGATGAAGGGGACCTTCAGGACGTAAGAATCAGCGCCGGTGACAGCCTTGCGAAGGAAGGCAGAGAGGTCGTTGTTCCAGCCAATGCGGAAGCTGTAGTTCCATCCGCCAAAGATGGGGAAGCGGGGACGGAGCTCCAGGGAGGCGTCGCGGTTCGGGACCTTTCCGGGACGGTAGCGGCTCGTGGAGACGTTGCCAATGTCGTCGGTGAAGTAGGGGTCCACGGAGCCCGGCTTAAGGGGGATCTTCAGCTCGCGAATAGCGGAGGATGGCAGCTGCTGGTAGCTGCTGATGGTCCATTCCACGCGGTTGAAGTTGTCAGTGAGCTTGGAGCCGTTGTTGCGCAGCCAGTAGCGCTCTTCCGTCGCCAGGTTGCCGCCCCAGTGGGACACTTCCAGGTCACGCTCCAGAAGAGTGGCAGTGATGACGGGCTTGGTGAACTCGTACCGGACACTAGCCGGGTAGGTGGTCTCGGGAGCGATGTCGGCGTAGGGTCCGTAGGTGTAGGTGGCACCCTGGCGCTCTGGATCCGCGCCCGACGTCAGGTCCGTGGTGGTGTAGTCGGGGACAATGGTGCTGGGGAACTTGATCTTGGTCTTTTGGGTCGCGGTCGTGTACGCCGAGGGAGCGTAGGCCGAGAAGGCATAGGCGAGGTACTGGCGATCAGTCTGGCTGATGGCCGCAGGACGAGGCTTCAAGGTGTTGAGGGCGGAGTAGGAGATGCCCAGGGTGATTTGCGACGAAGGGGCAAGAGGCTTGGGAAGGTGAACAACAAAGTACTGGAAGTCCCTGTATGGTCAAGAAGACAAAAGATCAGCAAGCCGTTCTAGATACATCCACCATGCATAGATCAAGCAACCGTGGCTTCGTCCTACACCAACCCAGCCATTGGCCGCCATTGCGGACGACTTACCTGCTCGAGTCGAACTCAGTAGCTTCCACCTCGAAGCGTCCCTGTTCAGGAGCCGATTTATCACGGACTTCTAGGGCACCGACCTTGTCGTAGAGGTCTGACGGGAAGGACAAGTAGTAGTCGGACTGCGGCTTCTTGTCCACATTCTCAACGACAACATTGACAGTCTCACGCAAATAACCCTTCTCCAAATTGGTGTTGCGGACGAGATTGGCGTTCTTAAACACTTGGGGAGGCTTGAAATCGCGAGGAAGAGCTACAGGGGAGCTCAAGGGAGTCGAGTCGGCATAAACCAAGCTGTTGCTGCTGGACAGGAACAAGCCGCACAGCGCAGCGAGTGCGGTAAACGGCCTCATAGTGGACGATATGGGCGGTCTTTCAACGACCGCGCCTAGGACCTATACACTCACCAGGAGATAGTCCCAAGGAGAAAGAAATGAGCGAGAGGATGAACGGGAAGGTGGGAGGAATTGGGCGATAAGTCGAGGGGGAGAAAGAGACGCGCGGAGATGCTGAGGTGTCCCGATGCGGGATTACGAATTACGTACGGCGACCGCCGCGGCCAAAACTTCCTGCTTTTATCGCCGATAACCCGCGATTCCTCCTTGCAACTCTATCCCCGCACTGTCTAGCTACGAGACTCTCGTTTTTTTGCTTGTAGTTTTCGGTGTCCCAACCATCGTGGTCTCCATGCTCGCTTCTCGAGCTGCTGCTCGTTCATGCTGCCGGTCAGCTAGAGCCCCGGCACGAGCCGCGGTAGCAGCCCGGCGCTATCACGGTCTCGCTCAGAGCAAGCTCTTCAAGGTGTCTGAGGAAGTCCGCGATGCTGTTGCTACTGGGAAGCCTGTCGTGGCTCTCGAGTCGACCATCTATACTCATGGTATGGTTTCTACCTGCTTGGTTGGTTGGGTATAGCTGACAATTACAGGATTTCCCTATCCTGAGAGCGTTGCTCTGGCAGAGTTGCTAGAGTCGGTCGTTCGGTCCAATGGCGCTGTGCCTGCTACAATTGGAATTCTTGGTGGTGAAGCACGCGTTGGATTAAGTCCCGAGGAGCTTGTCGAGCTAGCATCAACTGCGGAGAAGAAGAATGCGCTGAAAGTGTCTCGGCGAGACCTTGGTTACATCTGTGGCTTGGTGGGTGGGATGATTCCTCTTATCGATACACATCTGACAGTAGTAGGGGCTGGCTGGCAAACGCCTTCATGGGGGTACAACGGTGTCTGGCACGATGGTGCTCGCGCACTTGGCGGGGATCAAGATATTCGGCACTGGTGGACTAGGTGGTGTGCATCGCGGCGGCGAGAACTCCATGGACATCTCCGGTACGTGCAGCTATGGATATAACGAGAGTCCGGCTAACTGTAGCAGCCGACCTTACTGAACTGGGACGCACACCGGTGGCGGTTGTCAGCTCTGGGTGCAAGAGCTTCCTGGACATCCCGCGTACGCTTGAATACCTCGAGACGGAGGGCGTCTGTGTGGGAACCTTTGCCGATGGTCGTCAGGGCTCTGTGGACTTTCCTGCATTCTACACCCGGGACAGCGGGCTGAAGAGTCCAAAGGTCATTCAAAATGAGGCCGAGGCCGCGGCTATTGTCTGTAAGTCTTGCTGCATATCTCACTGACGCACCTAAGATACTGATGAATACAGACGCCCAGTCGCAAATCCCCGTCTCGTCGGGCATCCTTCTCGCCAACCCGGTACCACTTGAGCACTCTATTGCAAAGAGTGATATGGACCATATCATCGACGAAGCTCTTCGCCTCGCCGATGTCGAGGGCTACCATGGAAGTGACAACACGCCCTTTGTGCTGGCCAAGATCAAGGAACTCAGCGGCGGAAAGAGCGTGATTGCCAACCGAGCTCTGGTAGAGGCGAACGTGAAGCGCGCGGCCAAGGTTGCCGTAGAACTCTCCAAACTGGAGCGGTCTGGGGGGGCGCTCAATGAACGGTGAGCTGCCACTCGTGCGTTCAGACTCGGGATATCCTAATTGAGATGGTGTGCGCAGACACATGCCAGCTTTCTCCGGGACCAGTAGGGCTGACCAAGCGACTGAAACAGAGCTGGAGCATGCAACTAAGACTCCACTGGAGACTATAACCAAGGCGGATGTCCTCGTGGCTGGCTCCTTGGCCATCGATCTTTCCTGCGACTTTGCCCCGGCCGAAGCAAACACCACGACGCCCGCTTTGCAGACATCAAACCGCGCCGTCATCGGACAGAGCCTAGGGGGAGTTGGACACAATGTGGCCATTGCCGCAAGGTATCTGGACAGCTCAGTGTTGTTCTGCAGCGTTGTGGGTGATGACCTAAGCGGCCAAGCTGCGCTGTCCAGTCTCCGACAGGAGGGTCTCTCCACAGCCGGCATCAAGGTGCTCCCTCCGTCCTCCGGAGCACGCACGGCCCAATACATCGCCGTCAACGATGCGAAGAAAGACCTAGTGGTAGCCATGGCCGACATGGCAATCATGGAACTGCCAGAGCAGGCACTAGACTTTGACAACTTCTGGGAACCGATGATGTCCCGCGCACAGCCTCAATGGGCAGTAGTCGACGGCAACTGGAACGACGAGGTCCTAAGCAAATGGGTATCCCTAGCCAAGAAGCACAAGGCACGGGTAGCCTTTGAGCCCGTGTCCACAGCGAAAAGCCGTCGTCTATTCAGGTCCGCCATCAAACCACCTGACTGCGTTCCCAACAATACCGTCAGCCTGGCCGCCCCGAACCAGTTCGAGCTCGCAGCCATGTACCAGGCCGCGCGGGAGAACGGACACCTTGACTCAGAGGAATGGTGGCGGATCATCGACGCCATGGGCATGACGGGATCAGGGTCGCGCGAGCGACTAGTGGCCATGACCTCGGCGACGCTGGTCGACCAGGGAATCCCGCAGCAAAGCATCCAGCTACTGCCGTTTATCCCATGCGTGCTCACCAAGCTAGGCCGGGAAGGCGTGCTTCTGACGCAGCTGCTGCGGCCGGGCGATGCGCGACTGACGAGTCCGGAGTCAGCACCGTATATCCTCTCGCGGGCGTTGACGTCGGACGGGCTGATCGGGGGTGTGTACCTGCGGCTGTTCCCGGCTGCAGCAGAGCTAGATGAAAAGGACATTGTAAGCGTCAACGGAGCGGGCGATACGCTGCTGGGAGCAGTAGTGACAGGACTGGCGCGGGGAGGAGCGGTGGAGGAGGTGATTCCACGAGCACAAGAAGCGAGCGTATTGACATTACAGCAGGAGGGGGGAGTAAGTAAAGAGATATCCAGACTAGCTGGAAGTATATAGTGCATTCATACTCATCCATGATCTATGAATTGAATCAAACAGACATGCTACTACTACTATACATACTACTACGCACACCTAAAGAAACCAAAACATCCACCCTAAGAAACAACCATATCCACCCCCTCCGCCCCAACAACAGGCAACCCATCCCGACTCAATACCCCCACCTGCACCAACACACTGGCCTGATCCCAATAAGCATGCACGCGGGCGACCTTTCCCGCCGTGAAACTGGCCACCAGCACCAACGCCACTTTGACGTCCTTCCCCGTCGGGGGCAGATTCGGCAGTAACCAGGGGATAGCACGATCGTGCGTGAAGGTTAGGAGAAGTTCATCGACGATGCGATCAGGCCCTGTAGTGCGGGAGAGCAGACGGATGGATTGATTAGAGGGGGAGGGAGTGGGAGAGAGGAAGTGGCTGTTGGTGTAGAATTTCGTTATGGTGGAGGGGGTTGTTCCTATGCCATCTTTCATTAGTATCATGTATATATATGTATTATATGGGGTAAGTGAGGTATGCATACCACCAGCACAAGTAGGCACACACACCACGACGGGCGACTCTTCAATCGTGCATGTCTCTGTCTCTGTGCCCTTCCCGGCACCAGTATATAAATGTGAGGAAGAACTCCCACTACTATGCACACTCTCCATCTGCACCCCCATTCCACTGCCCACCATTAACCCTACCAGTTCTGCTGCGCGGTGACTGCGCTCGTCTTCTTCGTCTCGTTCACTACCCCCTTCCGCAGAAGTGGAAGATGAAGACGAAGACGATAAACACCGCCAATACTCCTCCCACACGTTCTCGACATCAGGCACGCGCCATTTCGTCGCGGGCCATCCGAACCCCCGCTTTAGGGTCTCGAGGGCGCGAGACCACGCTAGGCGTGCGGAGAGCCTGTCATAGTTCGACGAAGAAGGCTCAGCGAATCTAGGTGATGATTCGGGGTAGGTGAAGACGTGGCAGCGGTGGCGTTTCCGAGGATGGTTTTTGGTGCTGTTGAGGAGGGTGTCTGCGATTGAGGAGGTGGTGGTGGAAGTACCGGCGAGGTGGATTTGGATACAGAGGAGAGGGACGGAGGGGGGATAGGTTGTTGGTGTTGTTGTTGAGGATGTACTTCCTGTACTTCCTGTTGCTCCGCGAAAGGTATCTGGGGATGTACTGGTGAGGAAGTTGCTGTTGTTGGTGGTGCTGGTGCTGGTGAGAGGTCCTTCGGGGTAGTATGCCACTAGGGCACAGAGTCTGGGGAAGGGGTTTGTGGCTGTTAGTGGTTGATGGTGGGATTCGAGGAGGAGGTGGGCGGGTTTGTTGTATGCTTTATATCATACCATCAGTTACTATTATACAGAATATAAGAAAGATTAGAGGTGATTTTGGATAGGGGACCTACCAACGACAGCATATCTTTCCCCCGGCTCGAGATCATCTTCCCTCTCATGTAACAGATTCTCCAATTCCTTGCGCTCTTTATCTACATCTCCACAGCCATCTACTGCATTTTGACATCCCCGGAAGGGGAGATACTCGACGTCGAAGCCCTCGGCGCGGAAGCGCGATAGGATCCCCGCGTCGAAGTCGGGAGTATCGGAGGTCAGGTACAGTCTGCGTGGGGGAGAGGCTTCTGCTTCGCGACGACGACTGTGTTTGTCGTTGGCTGATGGGGGAGATTGTAGTGGTGTACCATAGTTGCTGGTGGTAGGGTTAGTGCCGGCGGAACTGCTGCGGCGACGACGGAGGTGTTGGCGGAGACGGTCCATTCTAGTAGTATTATTTTGAAATATTCCAGTATATAATGTGGTATAGTAGATGTACTAAGTAATATGGTCATCCATGGTGCGAACTCCGAGCATCCCGATTTATATATATACTGTATGCTGGCGGCTTATGCTTTGGCGGACATGCTCAGTGACGTCGACGATTCCAGGGTGTTGTTCTCATCTCACAGGGGCGACGTGGATCCATTCAGCCAGGGACGGGTTGAGTAGTATTAACTTTTGTGTGTACACCGTCAGTTCGTCAGTAGTTGGGTTGTGAATCAGCCCGATCCATTGCATACATATATGCGTGGCAATTCTATCGCATTATCGTATCTATCGTGAGTCAGTGACGTCGATCTATATACAAGTCTCGAGTTTTCCCATCCCTCGCATAGCGCCACCGCTCAATGGCGTCAACCACTATACCACGATGCTGCTGCAACATCTACTCGAAACTGGTCAACCAGCGTATCTCCTCCCTTACATTCCCCTCACTAGTCGGGTCCTCAACCAAATAGCACCGATACGCCGGGCGCTGCAAACTGCGCCTCGCGACCTCACAATCCACGCGAATATCCTCGATCAACGCCTCCGACGAAACATAATCATATTCAGGACGAATATATCCCAGAATCAGCAGGTTGAGTGGCGTGCCATAAAAGTCGGGCATTTTGTGGAAGGTGACCTGTCCGTCGGTGGAAGTAGTGGCGGTCGGCGAGGGGGCGGAGAGGGGCGGCATGATGTGGATTTCCTGCATTGCAGACAATATACCGTTAATCTATTGCATATTCAAGTGGTATATAGAGTGACAAAACTGGGAGGCGGGACGTACAATTGACTTGGACTCGTTCTTGTAGAAAGGATTATATCCGATGCTCAGCACCGCCGGGCGGATGGTCTCCCCCGTTGCGAAGCGCGCTGGATCCAGCGCCACGACGCCGTAGTAGACGCCTACGGATAATTCGGGATGCTGGGAGAGTTCATCGGCGGGGATGTTGGCTGTTGGGATGCCCAGCTGCGGTTCTTTGCGTCAGTTGGAGCTGCTGGACTTCTGGGTTGGAGGTGCAAGGTACCTCTTTGCTGCCCCGCCCGAAGCCTTTGATGACAGGTCCACTCATGCGGATGGGATACGGGGGCTCCGGTCCCTCATCGGGACCGGTGACAGGGTCGCGAGGCCGATCGGGGCGCATTTTAGAAGCTGAGATGAGTGGATGGTGTTGATGTAGTGGTAGGTGGAGGACAGAGAGAGAGAGCGAGAGAATAAGATGGAAGAGAGATCGGCGATAAGACAGGTGGGGCTATGGACTATCAAACGATGCGATTGTGGAGTTCAGGCTTCACCATGGCTTCCACCAACTGGCCAATTATCTACTCCCCTTTCCAGCTTACAGAGTTGCACTCTTATTCGCAGATAGATAAAATGGTATATTTCAGGATTATCTACGTTCATCCCGTTTTGCCGTAACTCCGTTCCTCTAATGGATGATATGACTCGTACTATCAGTTTAATCGTAACTATTTTACTCCATCTCAATCGTCGCCGGAGGCTTGCTGGAAATGTCGTACAGGACACGGGACACTACAGCAGTTAGCAGATATTCCTAGTGTTAGAAGAAGTATGTAACATACCGCCGTGGACCTCGTTGATGATGCGGGTCGAGCACCGGCTCAGGAACTCGTTGTCGAAGGGGAATGCGCGAGCCGTCATGACTGCTTCTGTTAGTCCATCATCACCAGAAAGATAACCAGCACACTTACAGTCGGTCGTCTCAACAGCACGCAGGATGATGATCTCAGCGTACACACGCTTGTCACCCATGACACCCACCGCCTTGCTGGGGTCCAGGGCAGCGTAGGCCTGCGCAATCTGGTCGTACAGACCAGCCTCGCGGATCATGGAGATGAAGATGTGGTCGGCCCGGCGGGCAATCTCCACGCGCTCGGGGGTAACCTCGCCGAGAACACGGATGGCAATACCGGGACCGGGGAAGGGGTGGCGCATGACCAGCTCGTGAGCAATGCCCAGCTGACGACCCAGGGCGCGCACCTCATCCTTGAACAGCTCACGGAGCGGCTCAATGAGTCTCATGCCCTGACCGTCAATCATGCGCTCTGTGATGGATTAGCGGGTTGCCAGATATTCCAGAACCGAAATACTTACGGGGCAGACCACCGACGTTGTGGTGGGTCTTGATGGTCGCCGAGGGACCCTTGAAGGAGATACTCTCGATGACATCGGGGTACAGAGTACCCTGGAGGAACCACTTGATCTTGGCACCCTGGTGCTCGGCCTCGGCCTCGATCTTCTGAGCCTCCTCCTCGAAGACGTCAATGAAGGTGTTGCCGATGAACTTGCGCTTCTTCTCGGGCTCGGTGACGCCCTTGAGACCATCCAAGAAGCGCTTGGAGGCGTCAACGACAGTCAGGTTGATACCAAGGTGCTTGTTCAGGGTCTCCTCGACGATGTCGCACTCGTTCAGACGCATGCAGCCGTTGTTGACGAGCACGGCGTGGAAGCGGTCGCCGATGGCCTCCTTCATGAGCTTGGCAGCACTGCACTTATTAGCCACCACCCAATCATTGAATCAATGGCAATCAACTTACACAGTGGAGTCGACACCACCGCTGACAGCACCCAGAACATGGTCAGTCTCGCCGACCAGCTTGCGAATGCGGGCAATCTCCTGGTCGACGAAGCGGGACATGGTCCAGTTCTGTTGAGCACCGCAAATGTCGACGGCAAAGTTCTTCAGGATGGTAGCACCGAGAGGGGTGTGGGTGACCTCGGGGTGGAACTGCACACCGTAGAGGGGCTTGGTCTGGTGGGCAATACCGGCATAGGGGGAGTTGGAGGTGGTGGCGATGGTGTGGAAGTCGGTGGGGAGCTTGACGAGCTTGTCACCGTGACTCATCCAGACCTTGATCTGGCCCTCGAGGCCGGCGAACAGCTTGTCGACGTGGCCCTGGTCGTCGAGGCGCTTGGCGTGGAGGTCGGCGTGACCATACTCACGCTCGGTACCGGCGTCAACGTTGTCCTTGCCCAGACGGTAGGCGATTTCCTGCAGACCGTAGCAGATACCGAGGATGGGGACACCGAGGTCGAAGACGGCGGGGTCAGCGTGGGGGGCTGTAGTTGGATAGAATGAGTATATGACTCTCGAGAATGGTTCCGCGGGGAGGGTTCCGCTTACCGCCGTCCTCGTAGACACTGTAGGGACCACCGGACAGGATGATACCCTTGGGCTTGAAGGGCAGATCGGCGATCTTCTGAGTGCATGGCAGCATCTCACTGTAGACATTGATCTCGCGCAGTCTCCGGGTCAGGAGATGCGTCTGGGGGAGAGAATTAGTATGTGAGTCATGGGGATGGCGGGGTAATTGAAGCACTGGAAGCGGCAGAGAGAGCGTGGTATAGAGGGAGAGCGTACGTATTGAGAACCAAAGTCAAGGATGAGGATGGTGTCAAAGGTGGCATGGGGAACCTCCTGGTCGGCCATTGTGACGGTGGGCAGTCTATCAGACCAATTGATGAACTTTCGACTTGCAGCTGAACCCGACAAGAAGAAGATCTTCCATCTTTCTTTGCCGCTCGAGAATTTTTTTTCTCCCGGGCGGTGAGCCCTGAATGCGGAGGTGATAAAAGTAGCCAATAAAATTGCATCTATCAAAGGCGGTCAGTTTGATAACAAGCTAGATGTTTATCAGTCACGTGTAAATTACATAATATGCATAATATATTCCAGGATACAGAGCTATATATGCATGCCAGCCCTAAATACAGAACCGACGACAACAACAAAACTGGCAATCTCCTCGACGACTCCAACATGTGAAAACAACTCATCAGTGTATATAATGGAAATGTAGATCACTCGTATCCCCCACTCACTTGTTCAGAGATTTTACCCTCTCTCCAAATTGACTCACGACAATCTCTGAAAACCAAGAGCAACCGAAAGGACCCCACTAAGCCCGATATAAACTAAAGCTGCGGCTCCTGCATCCCAAATACGAGCAGGACCAGAGATTAACCCCCTGAACATGGTTTAGCGGCGGACTCTGCCGCCTATTTTAGGTAGAAGGGTCTTGTGCTTCGGGGGACAGTTCTGCGCCGAGTCTAAACGGGGAGGGCCACTACGACACTCTATTTGCTGAGAGGGGTCGATTAGAAGGATGAGGCTACGCTAAGAAGAACCTTCAGGGAGATGAGGGTCTCGTAAACACGGAATACAGGGTTCTTGTCGTCAGGGGTCAAAGTGTAGCTAAGTAGATTGGGTTGTGACTTTGTGAGACATAAGTAGTACAAATTGGGGCTGGCTGTTCCTGTTTCATTCTTTCTTTGTTGTAATCACACTCACACCTGCTTCCTATTCATCTATCTCTTTTCTCCTATACGACAGTCTTTACTCTGATCGTACCTCTCACTGTCCCTACCTCTACCATTTACATACACACTTACACATATCATCGTCCAAAAGGATAAAATAACCGCCAAAATGCAATTCACCAAATCCACTCTCCTCACTCTCCTCCCCCTCCTCTCTCTCACTACCGCCGCCGACGTCTCAACCGTCTCCCTCTTCACCTACCACCCAGCGACCACCTCAGGGGCCGCCATCCCCGAATTCTCTCTCTCCAGCGTCCCTCTCGGCGCCTCCATCATCAGCGCCAACCCCACAGCCACCACCATGGCCGTCTCGTGCCTCAACGACGATAACTGCATCCTGCCCAGCCCCATCACCGTCACCGCGGGTCCCTCCACATACACTCTGTCCGCTGTGTACAGCACCAGCATGGAGGGTGTGCAGGAGGTGTTCACCATCGTCGAGGACTGCAAGATCACGGGCGTGACGCAGGGCGCGTCCTGCAGTGTGAGCTATGAAGTCGAGGCGACGTACAAGGGCGTTAGCACGAGCACGGCGAGCAATACGCAGATGAGTATCGCCAGTGCGGAGATTGGGTATGAGACTGTTAGCGTTACTGGGGGTGCTGATAAGTTG